CCGACGTGCGGACCGGGGACGGGGGTCCCGGGGAGCCGCCGGCTGTCTGTGGCACCGATTTAACCCTTTCTCGCCATTACCAGGATATAGACAGTTCTGAGATCCACAAGAAGAACTGCGTGTGGCTCATGGTGACCCATGAGACGTGCACCAAAGACGACGTGGTAAGAGGACAGTGCTGGACAGCTTTTATAATTATTTAATGCAAATTAATTATTTGATTTCAAAATGAACTTTCTTCTAGTTGTTCTACTTCATAAATCCCTCTGTTTCGAAGAGAATAAGCCTAATACCAGCTTCCTTACATCGCAGCTACTTTAAAAATTTCTTACTCTCTGGAGTCATGTCATCTCCAGAACAGCTCGACAAGAAGTCAATAATTAGTATTGCTTCTGGAGCAGAAGACTTGTCTTTCAAAAAAACAGTTCCTTAAAATCTAAAATACGGTGATTCTAATTTTTTTTCAAAGCCCTTTCCTTATTCAGAACAAGCGGAAATAATGCTTTTCTAAGCAAGTGTTCTTCCTTTCCTGGAAGATTAGTGCTAGTGTAACAACGTATTTTTCATTTCTGCAGCTTTTTATCTGCTGTTTGCTTTCCCTTCCTGTCAGATAGCCAGCAGGGTACCTGAAGGGTATCAGGAGACTGAATCTGCCGGACGCAGCGGCTGCTCTGTGCCCTGGCGGGGCTGTAACACCCACGGGCGCTGGTGATGTGCCTGCTGCCGTGACAGCATTTGCTGCGGTACCACACACGCTCTTTCCAGAACAAAGTTCTGCTTTATTGCAAATGTGCTGCCCTGGTCAGTCATTAAACATGGTTCAGTTGGTTTTTTCGGGTTTTTTTTTTTTTGGGGGGGGGGGGGGGTTTCTTTTTGTGATTCTGTGACTCGCCTGGAGCAGCACGGTATCAGCCCTGCTCATTTCTCAGCCCAGGCAGATGCTGGATGAGTTAGCTGGGGTATTTCTGGACAATGCTGGCCATTTCCATTTCTCATCAGCTTTAGCACAGCTGTGGTTACTTGTGCATTTTTTTTAAATCTGGCACACAAATTACAAACCTAGCCCTTCAGAAAGAGCCTCTTTCACCTTAAAATGGAGAACATTTAGGGAGGAGATGCTGCATAAATACATTGAACTACTTCTCAGTGTTTAAAGGAAAAGAGGGAGTGTTACTTCACCAGTTTTCCTCTATGCCACCATGTCTTTAAAAAGCATATTAATTTGATTATTTCCTGATGATTTTGTTGAATATTTTCATTTTACAGGAAAGATGGGAAGGGCCAGACAAAACAACAAAGTTTGGGAAAACAGGTGAAATTTCTCCAGTTAACAAAGCAAATTTTTTAGTGCTGTGAATTAAGCAAGTGAAGGAAAACAAGAAGGCGGGGGAAATACTGCTTATGATTAAATAATCATAAAATGAAATGAGTTATAGAATTGCCTCAAAGCAACCTTTCTGAATGGAAAAAAAAAGTAGTATCGGCTCTTAAGATTGCTCTGCAAAAAGGTAGCATAGAAAAGTAGATAAATTGCAGTAATAAGCCACGCAGAGTGTCATGGAGCTTTCTCCACACTCACAAATCCAGGGACAATTGCCACTGTCATCTCAGTCTTCTAGCAGAACTGAGGGCTCTGGAGGTAATTTCTTGAATTTCATAATTATGAAGTTACCTCTCTCTTTTCGTATCCTTGTCTTGTGGATTTATGCCTCTAATTTCAACCTCTGAATTTTTTATCTTTGTAAGTCTTCTACAGTAGGCCATGCATTATTATTTAAACTGGAATTAAAATGCAGTCGCTTATGTTAGGCCATGAATTT